AGCAAAATGAAGGGCAAAAGGCATGAAACGTGCTAGCCCTTTTCTCCACAGCATGACAAATTTCGGCACTAGAAGGACCAAGAGGGCTTCCAGAAGACTTCCATACGGTGGAGCCGAAGTGCTGGGCGCTCCGTTAAGGGGAGAAACGAGAAAACGGAGGGCCGTTGTGGGCCTGGCCTGTTTGATTGACCGGTTTGATAGCACGGAGAAGTGCGAGCGAGGCCCTGTAGCCCTTCTGCAATGGGTTCGCACGCCCGATAGAGGGCGCTGGGGAGAGTCGGGGCCTTGTCTGAGGCAAAGGCGCGATCCAGCAGTGTGTAATACGGTAATTAGATACATGCGAGTACGGCGCGCTACTGCTGAGAGAAACGGAAAGGGGGCTGTGAGAAAGGCAATCAATCAGTCAATCAATCGAATCAGCCAACCAGTCAATCAGTACATCAGTCTATGCGTGTTGTGTCATTCCATCTCAGACCTCGGCCGGCTGCCTTGTCGCAAGAGAGGCGCCGGCGTAGCAGCGGTAGGCGGCAGCCTGCCATTCAACTGACACCAACTCAGGCATGGAGGTATACCTGAACTCAACTGATTTACGCCGGTGAGCGCTCGTACGAGCCAGGTAGCATTTCCTGCCTTGGCTTTGCCTCATCTAGGTAGGTACGGCTGGGCCTCAGCATGCAAGGGAGGACTGCCAATTTCAATTTACTTTGAGGCCAGCTCAGCGATACCACCAGGCCAAAAACAAACCTAAACCTAAATACACATCAGCAAAAAAAAAAAAAGCCACCTCACCGTTTCGTATCTCGCTGTCTGAGTCTCTCGCTCGCCCTCATCAAAAACGCCCACCGCTATGCTTTCCTCTCTCAGACAGGGGCCCCGGCCTCAGCAGCGGCAGGGATCAGGGCTCGACTCAAAGCTTCTGCCCCCTGTGCCTGTTTCAATTTCCTACCAGGCCCCGCTGGGCTGGCCGCTGCGTCACGGCCAGGGATGGCCCATCAGCTGTGAGAAGCGCCCAGCATGAGTTGATCCGTATCGAGCACGGGCACACGGGAAGACTTGTGGGGGCTGCCATCCATCTTGCGGTCTGGGTTTTCTCTCTGCTCTTCTCGAGAGGTACAAGCCCCGCTGGTACTCGCGCCGGGCCAGACTGGGCTGACGTATGTATGTCAAGGCGACAAATGAGCACCAGCAAAGCGCGCTTGGTTTTCGCACGCCCTCCAGCGCTGCACGCCCCCCAGATCCCACTGAGTACGAGCACTAAACAGAGACCCCCCTGGCGCTGCGCTACTCGCACGCTCTCTCTCGTCAGACTTGCCTTTGCCTTCCAAAATACATAAGGACATCTTGCCCTCGCTTCTCTCCACGAAACCCGTCTACTCTCCAGATCACCAGCATCAGAAACAACAAGGAACATCTTACACTTCCTCACTTCAAAGCCTCTCAGACTTGAACCTGCTACTTGCACCTGTGCATACCTCGCTCAAGCCCATCCACTCGACCATCCACTTACACGGACCGCCTCTACCGCCGTCCTCAAACAACAACAACACCACAACTCTCAAGCTTCACAGCTTTCTACACCCTCACAATGCCTGCCCAGCGACCTTCTCACCTTCCTCCCTGCCCGGGCCCCCCGCCCAGCCGACCTCTTCCTCCTCTGCCTAAATGAGTGCCGCTCCTCTGAGGACCACCATTCGAACTTCAGAACAAGAAACGGCTACACTCTCTGTCATGGGCAATCCGGAACTCCACACATATATACAAGGTTTTCAATCTTTTCTTTTTATATTTTGAGATGCGGAACCCCAATGGCCTCTACTCCTCCTCTTCGTGGGGGACGAGACGCAGGGTTCCTGTCGGCAACGGGAAAATCGCAAGCCATCTGCTATGCGAAGCGGATCTGTGATGCACGTCACCACTCTATTACCACTCTGTAATACAAATGCCTCTACCGCTGCGGGGCTGCAACATCACACAATCTACATGCGACGCGCTCTCCCGAACTGGACATGGACTTGTCTCGCCGCCACGGCCGAGATGCAGTAACACCTGCTGCTGCAGCAAACCCCACCGAGCTGGGCCTCAGCGGCGTGTCGACATCGAATCACCAACCCTGCTCTCATCGGCATTGATCAGAGAAACAACAGCTTCTCTCAATACAACACAACCGCATAGCCGCAGGTTCCACCATTCTCTCAACGCTTGGCCACCTGACGGGCTGCGTTCATCTCGCTCTCCATACCGTCCTCGCTGGCTCGAGCGGGTTACTTGCGCATCTTTCTCTGCATCTTCGACTTCGCTTGTGTTGTATTGCGATTCAAATCTCATACACGCTTTTCTCTTTAATACTATCCATGTAATACTTTGGGACACTTTCTTCTTTCACTTTCTCTTTCATTTCTTTTGGGAGTTTTTTTTTGCATATCTACTTGACGTCTATGGAAGGCGGATGGGGGGAACAACATCATCGGACGATTAGGAATTGGGAGGGACCACACTGTACTATTACTATCAAGGAGCATTCGTGGGTGCGTCGCGGAATACCCTGGGATGTTGACGACCTGTTTACTTTTGGGCTTGGGAATATGATTTGGGCAACGATTGAAACGCGGGATTGAGATTATCTGATTACTATTATTTTGCCCAGTTTGGCGAACATAGACATTGCAATGAAAACCTTGAGCATTTCTGCCACTGTTACTTTTACTTTACAACTTTGACTTCGTGACTCTTTGCTCCGTTCCACTCGCCTCTGTTGCCTGTCTAGTATATTTCTGGTGCTATGATCTTTGTTGGGTGATCGTCCGATGCGCCCAGAAATGACTGGTCGCCTGTAATTTGAGACAGGCATGGGGCAAGGTGTTTTATTACTCAAACAGAACAGCCAGTGCTACGTTCCGCATTGAATCTCGTGCCCTCTGGCTGCGCCTCCGGAATACCACGCTGCGACAAGGCAAGGCCTGGATCAAAAGAGAAAAAAGGCCCAGATGGCCCTATCGCCGATTCACACTCAATGAAAGCAATGCATGGTACGTTACAAACCCTGGACGGGCATCATCTATTCTTCTCATTCTTTCTCATTGATGTTATGTAAATAACTCGGACTATGCCAAGACTTTTCTTTCTTTTTTTCTTTTTTAGCCATCGTTGCCGCATTCCGTATGCCAAGATTCCTATTACGCTACTATTACACACCCGCTAGGTGCGGCTCTGAGATTAAACACACTCAGCTGGTATGCACTTTTAGCGGAGAGGAGAGTCAGCGCTTTCCGCGATTACCGTATAAAAGACGATAAAAAAACTAAAAACAAAAACTAAAGACGAGATTGTATCCTCGGTCTTCACATTCTCTTCCGAAATGGTCGGGGGGCTGGCAAGAGAGAGCGAAGAAAAAAAGGGTCTAGGCATGTGGGGGAGCAAGTACATGTAGGGAATAAAAGGAACGGGACTCTAAAATGAACCGATTGTTTTTCTTTTCGGCCGAGGCTATCACGGGGAGGCCGCCGGGGATTTCCAAGTTTTCTCAGGTTAATTACTAGCTAAACCTGCCTGGCATCAAAATATGCACCACTTGGGACGAGAGAATTGTGTTGAATTGATTAATTGCCGGATTTTTTTTTTCTTTGGTTCTTTCTTGATTGAGCCAAGGCGAGATGGAATGTTGTAAGGATACCCATGATAATGTGCGACGAGAATAGATACTTTAATACGATAGCTTAACGCTGAGGAATAAGTGCCGTGGAGCGTACTATTGCTTCTAAATAGAAGCTATTACCTTTTTTCTATGCCAAATTTTCCTTCCTTCTTTTCTTTTTCTCGGGGCTTCTTCTAGTGGGAATTGGCTAAACAGCACCTTGAGGTGGCGGTGCTAGTCAAGAGTCCATTTGGTTCTTAATTAGCTGATAATGACGAAGCTGCCTAGATTGAGATCGGGATCGTGGCCATGTGGTTTTCTTTTCTTTTTGGTTCTGATTTTTTGCTAGTTTAGGACTTCATGACTCGGAGAGATTTCGAAAGGAATCGGACCACGGTGGCCGGCTGTGATCCTCTTCCGAGATTCAGCGATATGGAGCAAGTATTACGGAGTAAACCACTAACCACTCGTTATCTCCATCTAGGAGGGTAAATAAAGTCGTAATAGTGGCATGTACTATTAATTACACCTTGTACACTGGAGTTCCTCATATTGAATCGATGTTCCTGTTGCGGATAGCAGGACGCCCCCCTGTACAGATCGAAAGCGGAATAGCCCGTTCCCCATACAATTTTAATTACAACCTGAACACTGCATATCTGTGGCGAAAGCGAAGAAAAAAGAAGGCAAATGGAAGCCCGTAATATTAAAAATATGCACGATTAAAGGGGGAAGAGGCGATTTGCGCCTTTGGGCGGTGGTACTGTAGCAGTTGTTAAGTCGCATGCGTTGCACGTGCAAGGCAAACAAAACAATTAACTAACGTTTTTAACGTTTCAGAGTCTGGTTTAATTCAGGGGTTTGTAAGAGTAAAAGAGCAACAGCAGTCGTGATGTAATAGACATCAGACGGCAGATGATCCTGATACGAGTACGCTGCTGGCTGTGTTTCAACGGCGCCGGCAAGATGCTATTCCTCCGAGCCCGTCAACTACGTGTAAGCCAGCTGTTCTTTGACATGGAAGCCTTGTGCCTGGGATGGATCAGGCCTGGATCCAGAACCTGAACAACCTGGACCTCGCAGCTATATTGCGACTCTACAGCTGGCGTTGCAGCGCAGTGGCGATAAGAAGCGCCCCAAACATGGTGCTGATGGCGGTGGGCATGGCAAGGATCATCCGTTCCTGGCAACACCGTCCAGCTACAGCAGGAACCCGTTCGTTCCGTTTACTGCAGCCTCCAAGGTTTCTGAAACATAAATCTCGCCACCCACGGACCCTCCTTTTTTGTTGGGGGCCAGGGCGAAAGGGAACAAAAACAAAAGGGTGCATCTAAGCAGAAATCGTTTGCAGCTGAAAAATAAAATTGCGATGCGATGCCGATTGCGATGGTCGACCCCGATGGCCCAATCAGGCCAATCCCACATATCCCAGAATGCCACGAGAGCCCCGGCGATCCCCGGGGCCACGTCTCAGGAACGTGATTCGCTGTGCAACGAGCAAATCATCTTCTTGAGACGCAGGAGACGTCACGTGCGGATGCGCGGCTGAAAGGGGGTCTGTCTCTCCTTAGTCTCAGTCAAATGTCGATTGTTGGTGGTTGTGCGGCTGGGTGAGTTGCTTGCCACGTATCCCTGGCTTTTGATATGGTGAATCCTGGGATAAATGTATGGATGTAGCTACATGCGTTTGATAGGATCTTGCTCTGTTAGTCGTTGCCAGGGATCAATGGTTAGGGGAGTATTCATTGGCTAATGCCAATGTGTGTCTAGGACTTGCTACTAGCTTGAGTGAAAGCCCGGCTCAAGAGGACGCTTGGTTGAGTCAACGATGAACGAATGATTGACACGTTCCCTTGCGTTTCAGCTCGCCAGGGTGGGCATCGAATAGAGGCTGGTGATCGTCTCTCGTACCACGGGCAGTGCCACATGACCCTGGAGTTCTGCCTGGAGAAGCACAGCACATGTACCTCAGGCAGAGGATATGTAACTCCAGTCATGTTGTGTGACGTGTGGCCTATGACGGGGTTTGTATTGCGTGCAACCTTCGCTAAATAGATTCTTTCGAGAAAAGTTCATCATGCCACCCAGTGCCATCAATACGAGCATGTGTTGTCTGACAACATGGAGAGCTTGAAAGGCCACACGCCCCCTCTTGCGTTACAAAATACGGATAGTATGTGCCCATGACACTCTTGGCAAGACATGGTCTGAGGGCTTGTTTCTATATCGGGATGGAAGCATATATGGTTATTACTCCGTGTATACGAGCGTCTGTCTATCGAAGTGCTATTGAGATTAAGATGTCTTGGCACGATGTGTTTTCTTTTATGACGTGTAATATGCCTTTTCAGGTCTTGCCAAGGGTCCCCCGGATTTTGTTTTCAGCCGTGTCAAGCCACTTCACATGCGAAATGAAAGAGAGCAGGGCTTTTAATAGCTGCTGCTAGTGGTATTTGTTTGAGTTCTAGCTGCTCTTTGGGTGCCGAAGCCCATGTCATCTACCAGCACCGCGAAGCTAGAGGCGAGCTGAAGTAGAAGACTATTTGCAATTCTACTTGATAAGAGAAATGAGCCGGGCTGACGTACCTTGAATTGAATCTGATGATCCACGTGGGAGAGTGCTTGCCACTTTTCGAATCTTCTTGTTTCCAGGTTTAGTAGGGGATGTAGACATGCGCTACTTGTGAGCCATGTACCATTGCCAATTTTCTTTTCAGAGCGGCGTGCCTTATGCTATCGCTGCTAGTTACACAATCTAACGGGTCTGTGTGGCACATTGGCGATTATATCTCTTGTTGATAGAGTATATTGTCGCACTGACGACACGAGAGCAGCAATTGTGGCCTGATGTTCCTAATTTTACAGGTAGCACATGGCCTGAGCTGCTGTGCCCTAATCATATTGAGCCACGTTGTCGTCAAGCATAAGATATGTTATGGGCATTACAAAAGCTGTAGTTACCTACTATCGTTAGTATCGCATTGTGTTATAAGCAGAAGCGGAGGTGTATATGATCCTGCTCTAGGGTATATCATTGGCAAACGTCTTAAGAAATGCAGTGAACGGTCCGCATCTTTTTCAAGAGCAACTTTGGTTGTATGATACACTTGATTGCCAAAAATGCTTACCAAATAAGTAATTGTAGAGCTCATATATTGTAAAACTTTGGTGCAATGGATCACAGGCCTGTAGAAGGATGTCGGTTCATGAAATGAGAGTAGCCATATGTGAACTTGCTGAAAACAGCAGCTGAGTCCCCCTTTTTCCTCTTACAACAGTATCGAGATTGATGAGTGATGAGATTTATACGGGGTTCTATTTACCATATAGGTGTAAATGTATACCACGTATATCTAGGTACATGTAGTTACTCGTGCCGACAGCCTCTCTAAAGTTGGACATCTTCGGCATGGGCTGGTTACGCCACCGCTATATTCAAAGTCATGAATTGGCGGAGCCTTCATATGATATGATTCGAGTATCATAAGAAATAATACTACCTTGGACTTTGAACTTTGAAACCAAGCCAGGCCATATTATCTTGAGAGAGATGGCATGCTACCGCTTACTGTAGTAGTTTATCCGAAGAGACTCACGACAAGATATCTTCGACATGAACAACAACTGTAGCAACATATTTCTTCATAAAGTGCGAAAAAACCCTCCTGTTATTGTTCTCATTACCATCTTTATCATTAGCGAATCCCACTTCCTTGAATTATCGCAACCATTCAATGAAGAATAAAGGCATGAGGTTGTTACTAGTGGCGATCTCTATGCATGCACCAGTCACATTGGCCGAGTAAGTCAAAATTGTGGAGCGGCGACCAAACCTTTTTTAGGAATTGATGCCTCTTGCTCTAGTCCCAACCTTTTCCACGTAAAAGCAACGACGACTTGATATTGACATTTTAATCACCTTGACGTAAGAATTTATTTCTTAATCTGCTATCAACTCAAAGAGCGCTTGACGATCATTTCATAACACACCGTGGCCCCTCACGCTGCTGCGATAGTCTCTTCCTTGTGCAAACACCATCAACGTGGCAAACCCAACAACTCGGCAATGCTGGATCTTCATGTCTGGGGCTCAGCTTTTGGGCTGCCCTCTATTGATGCAGAATGTTTGGCCATCATAACCTACTTTCACAACGTGCTGCCCGCCTCATCATGGCGCCTTATACCCAGCAACGATCCCTCTGTCAGCCCTTCAAGTAAGCCATCGATTTCCACCCTTCATCACTCATTCACTCATCCTATCTCGGAGATGCTCGTTTAATATGCAGGATGCTGATTCTCAGTGGTATAGATCTTCTACCAGCATTAAATCACGAGGGTAGCTGGACAAGCGGATTCCAGCCCATTGTCCAGTACCTGGCATCAGAAGCTCTTTGCGATGACCTGGACGAGAACCTCAGCCCTATCCAGCGGGCAGACAGCGTCGCATACAGCGCCTACTTGCGAGCTCACGCAGGACCTCTTGTTGACCTGTCTCTCTACGTCTCTGCGGCCAATTGGGCCACTGCTACCAGACCAGCGTACAGCTCACTGCTGTCGTTTCCCCTGACGTGGACGGTTCCAACTTTGATCAGATCAGAAGCCATTAAGCGCGCCGAGCATCTCGGCCTCGCTGAGTTGGACAGCGACTTTGATCCTAGCAGCGGCCTTCATCTTAGTTCCGGCAGAGATGCGCTACCAGAGACGTTTCGGCGACATATCCCTCTGATGACAAAGAAAACTGTCCATGAGGAGATGACGCCGGAGCAGGCTACGGCAATTAGATTATTCGGTCTGACTGAAGACTGCCTTACGGTGCTGGATGATTTAATAAAGGGAGAGGATGAAGATCACCCTCGATCCTTTGCTGAGGCATCAATTACTTCTCTAGACTGTTTAGCATTCGGATACTTGGCTCTTATGCAGAAGCCTGCTGTACCCCGAGCTTTCCTCAAAGACTGGTTAGAATCGAAAACTCCAAGGCTACACAAATTCGTCGATTCCATGCTCGCGCTAAGCATCGCTGAGCGCGGCGAGCTTCCCTGGACAGTCCCCGACCCGACCTCTGCCGTTCGCTTTAGCGGTCGTGTTTTCGACTCTGTACTACGCCATCTGCCCAACGTAGGCGAGCGATACGCATCCGAAGTGCGCCACAGGGCTGAACAACAGACAAAAGGCTTAGATCAAAGAGCTATGATGTTGATCGCGGGCGTGGTGCTCACCGGCCTGGCGACTGGTTATGGTTTTCAGACATATAGGGCGATGCAGCCGTTTGGGGCGCCAACTCAATCGTGGCAGCCCAGGCGGACGCAGTCACGGCTGAGCGAGTTTGGACAGCTTGGCTCGATGCTGAGTAGTGCTATGGGACCTATTCAGCCAATGCCCAGTGGTCTCGATTTTGGAACTCGAGATGACGGAGGGCCTGGTGGAAGGTTAGTGGAAGTGGATGCCGAAGTTGATTAAATATACCAGGGAGAAGGATAAAAAAAAATCAAGCCAAAGTAAGTAAATCTCAATAACTGGTAACATCATTTCATTTGGTGTTTGTTATTTCGCTATGATAGATGCTTGCTTGCTTCCTATGAGCCGTTCTCACCGCCATGGTATTTATATGTTTAATCCGCATAATGATGTCCCAAATCACCCCCTTTGAAATCTATTAGTGTTCCATTCCAGCGGGCACCGCAATCGCTCTATATTTGTCGAATCTCCTTGCCCACCATTTCTGGCCTCTCCACCTCCCACTCATCTCTTAACACGGCAAACGTCAAATCGGACACGAACAAACTCTGGGCTAGACTCCACACCAGTGTAATGGCATAAAAGAAGTTGGCGTTGCCGCTGCCGGCGTATATCCACAAATGGTAAAACGCAGGGCCGAGGAAGGTCGCGTATAACATGGTGGCAGAGGCAACATATGTATATCGCATAATGGGGTATAGGTGCCGGTATAAAGCCAACATGGCGAGGAACAGACTGGTATCTGCGATGGATGGGTATGGTTTGAAGACAGCAAAGATACCCAGGAGAATGGTCAAGACAGCCAGAGGTTGGGCGCGTAGTCGAATCGAGAGGCCACCAACGTATATCACGAGGTGCAGCCAGAACACAGCCAGGAAAAAGCCCCGGAACGAATCGAATATCTCAATGAAAAAGTACCACCATAGTCCCACGTTGGGAGTCAAGTCGGACAAAGTGAGCTGAATGCCATATGTTCGTGCCAAAAAATCCCACGAGTTGCCTGTCAGGGCAAAAGACATGGTTAAAAGCAAGGAGATGCAGACAGAGGCGATCAGGACAGTCTTGATCGAGAATTGTATGGCGGAGCCAATACGTCGCTTTTCAGATTGGCGGTCATAGGCGAGAAGGACGAGAGGTGGGAGCAGCAGGATCGGGTACATGGATAGATAGGAGGCAAACGAGATGGCGACCATGGCGTTGAAGGGGGAGCCAGAGAGGGCCTTTGCGATGGCAAAGAGAATCGCGCAGTTTGTGAAGACACTGGTTGAGCGGCCAATGCAAGTCGCGAGGGTATAGGGATTGAATAAGAAGCTACATGTTTATTGTTAGCAACCAATCACATGCCCATTGGTTTCAATTCCGTGGATGGGGCAGTCATACGCTGCAGCTACCAGAAGCCCAGATGACCTCTTCGCTCGCCGAGGAGATGTATATAGCTTCGACTGGCCGGCCTCTCCCGAATCGGCTATGACAAGGAGCGCATATGCGCTGAGGAGGTCCACGAGGATATACAGCACTGCCGTAAAGATGGGCCATGTCTTGACGTCCGGGAGCAGCGAGAACAGCGGGAGGAGCAACGGCGCCTGGTGGAAGACGCCACCGTCGTAGGGCCAAACATTGTGGTTATATAAGAACAGCCCCTCTTGCACTATGTCGCCAGAAGCAATAATCGAAAGATTGTCAGCGCATCAAGCTCAATTGCCGTGTCTCTGCGGTGGGGTCCGCGATGCGCCTTACATCGTTTGAAGCTTGTCACGGGCGTGGAGATCTCGACGCGGCCGGTCAGCAGATCGGGCAGGCTGGGGAATGCGGCAAACAAGATGAACCGCAGCAAGGCGGCGCCAGCGAAGACGCCGACCTTGCTCTGCAAAGTCATGGTGGTGGTGGTCGACATGGCATCTCCTAGGCCATGTTGAGGGGGGATGGATATTGGAAGCTCGGAGGTTAGATGCTAGCACTACTGTACGGAGGCCACTTGGCCGCAGCTCAGCCTTGCTGCCATTGGCATTGATGTTTAGCGCTCCTCTCCAGGCTGCTACAGGCCTCTACAGGCGGCCCTGAGAGGTGGCTTGTGAGTGGCTTGGGCGGGTCGGGCGGTGAGATCAATTTGGCAGGCTAGTCCCAATAAAGGCCACGACGTGGGCGGTGGCGCATGGCATTAAAATTTCCAGCTTGGTAGGAAGAAAAAAAAAAGTTCAGTCGCTACAATTGGCGATTTTACTGCCCCGCGGTCCTTTTTTTCTTCCAAAGAGCAACAACACCGCATATCGCCAACAGTCAATCAACACAATGGCGCGGATAAAGAAGAAGGGACAGGCCGGTGCGGCCAAGAACTTTGTCACGCGAAACCAGGCGATCAAAAAACTGCAACTCAGCCTCCCCGACTTCCGCAAGCTTTGCATCTGGAAAGGAATCTACCCTCGCGAGCCTCGCAGCAAAAAGAAGGTCTCCAAGTCTTCTACTGCCTCGACCACCTTCTACTACACCAAGGACATTCAGTATCTCCTTCATGAGCCGCTGGTGCAAAAGTTCCGCGACCACAAGTCTCTGGAAAAGAAGATTTCAAGAGCATTGGGTCGAGGAGATGTCAGTGATGCCAAGAGACTAGAGACCAATGCCGCCCGCCCAGAGAAGACCGGAAAGCCGACCTATACTCTGGATCATGTGGTTCGTGAGCGCTACCCGACATTTGTTGACGCATTGAGGGACTTGGACGACTGTCTCTCCATGCTTTTCCTCTTCGCGAACCTGCCGTCGACCTCGATGGTGCCTGCCAAGATGATTGCCCGCTGCGAGCGACTGTGCCTCGAGTTCCAGCACTATCTCATTGTCTCAAAGAGCCTGACCAAGTCTTTCCTGTCAATCAAGGGTATCTACTACCAGGCAAACATCCAGGGCGAAGACGTTCTATGGCTGGTTCCGTACAAGTTCAATCAGCGAATCGTTGGCGATGTCGACTTCCGCATTATGGGGACTTTTGTCGAGTTCTACATGACGCTTCTCGGCTTCATCAACTTTAGACTGTATACCTCAATTGGCCTCAAGTACCCGCCCAAGTTTGATGCTGTCAAGGACGAGAATGCTGCCGAGCTGGGTGCCTTTACGCTGGAGGGCAAGACTCTGATTGGCGGCGAAGAGCAGCAGAAATTGGAGGACGTTGCTCACAAGCCGGATCCCAAGGTTCAAGCTGCCGTCAACAAAGTTCTCAAGAGCATCACAAATGGCGACTCAAATGGCGCTGCCGCTGAAGAAACCAAGACTGAGGACAGCGAAGAAGTTGACCAGGATGCAGCTGGTGCCATTGACAAATTTGAGCCCGCTGCTCCTGGAGGCGACGAACTGATCCAGCCATCCTACAGTGGCACCAACCCCAACTCTCTCTTCTCCAACTTCACAATCTACCTGTCCCGTGAGACTCCCCGTCAGCCACTCGAGTTCATCCTCAAGTCATTTGGCTGCAAGCGAGTTGGCTGGGATGCCGTGCTTGGTGGTGGTGCTTTCACAACCGACGAGTTAGATCCATCAATCACACACCAGATTGTCGACCGACCCCCTATACAAGCTTCAATGGATGAGGACGGCGATGGTGAGGACAACCAGACTGCACAGAAGCTGGCAGCCAACCGACGTGTGCCTGGACGGATATACATTCAACCTCAGTGGGTCTGGGATTCCGCCAACGACGGTGAATTGAAGGAGCCTCATCTGTATGCCCCTGGCACATCGCTGCCACCGCATTTGAGCCCCTTCGTCCGCAAGGTGCAAGGAGCATACGATCCGACAATGCCTCTTGAGGATCAGGAGACTGAACGTGAAGCTCTTGAGGCTGGCGATGATGATGAAGAAGCTGATGCGGACGAGACCGTAGAAGGCATGGATGTCGCAGAGTCAGGAGATGAGGACGAGGACGAGGAGGACGAGGATGAAGACGAACAGGATGAGGAGGACGAAGAGGAAGAGGAAGAGGAAGATCACAATGATGCCCTCCAGCGCCAGATCGAGCTTGAAGCAGAGATGGCTGGTAAGACGGTTCAGTCAAAGACTGCCAACCCCAAGACCAAGGCCAAGGAGGATGCACGAAAGGCACTGGCAAAGAAGGCACGTGAAGAGGCCGAAGACTTGGAGCGAGCCAAGGGCATGCTGAGCAAGAAGAAGAGAAAGCTCTTCGAGCAGATGGAGTACACAAACAACAAGAAGAGTGCAGAGGATGCCAAGCTGCGTTCAAAGAGAAGAAAGGTGGAGAAAGAGAAGGCGGGCAAGGCATAGATTCGGGATGTACTATTTAATATACTAGTAGTAAATGGGGTTCAACGGCGTATATGTGGTTCAAATAAAATGATTTCTTATCTTTAATAGAAACGATTTGCGATAAAAAGTGTACAGTAGTGATTTGTTGAATGAGAAGCCGCAAATTCGTTGATAAAAGTTGAGAGACAGCGATTTAGTAAGAGGGACTGAAATTTCTTCTTAGCACGTGAACTTATACTTTTCACCACAGCATTTCGACCTCAACCATAGTTCTCATCGATGTTGGTGTCAACTATTGACTTCTTAATGAAAAAAAGAGCAGCAATTTCTTTTTCCACAAAAATTAACACGGACATAATTTCAAATTTATCGGTACATAAAAGACCCATCTATCGATACCTAGGGATGCGGTGATCAACACACATGGATCGAAGTTCTCCAGAATGGGATCTCGACAGCGACGACATCGCGTCTGTCACTTCTCAAGACCTCCACGATAATCGCCCGAATCGCTGGACGGGACAGCAGAGACCATGGCAGCGCATGACGGCAGAGGAGCGGCGCCTGTGGCAGTCGATGGAGGCTGTGGAGGATCAGGATTTGGCGGTTCATTTGTACAATGCGTTTGCGCTCAAGAAGCGCGGCAAAGATTCCACGACGGCGCAAGATGTCACGGTTACTATGGTATTTCCATCCATTATTAGATTGCCCTGTTGAATTGTGGCATATGATTAGTGGTGGATGAATATGTGAGAGCGCTGGCTTACTTTGGAGTGATAGGAAAACGGGCAACAAAGCATATGGGCGCCCCCAAAGGTTTGGACCGCATGGCCGATGAACGAGAAGCATGTGCCCCGACAGAAGGATGCCTGGAGAGAGAATGATGGGTTTGACAGATTCACGTTTCGCAAAGCTGAGAAACAGATGCCTAGCTCTGAATTACACGAGGAACTTGGAGCGACCATATTGAGGATAGCCGGGGAGCGCTTTCACAAAAGCAAGAGGAAAACTGTACTCACGTCTATTGAAGGAGATCCGACCTCTTTAGATATAGGAGGATCTGAGAGAGAAGTCGCAAAAGCGTCAAGTATGCCAGCTCCGTCATCCCCATCTTCCGCGTCTGGTCATGAAGACGTGAAAATGATGCTACTTAATGACGAGGGAGGTCGAAGTCATGGTAAGGATGAAGGCCACTCAGCACGATCAACTGGAATGAAGAGAAAGGCTCCAGAGACATACGAGCCTGTAATGTCTTCTAATGACGACGTATCCTACGCGCTCGTCAAACCTTCTGTTCGGCATATTCTCTCACAGTTGGATGCTACACTACATATCCTCCACAGCGCCCGCATCGCCACCACAAACTACGCATCTGATTCGTCCGCAACATCCGACTCAGAATCCGACACTCGCCCTGGCCCTAAACGAGGCCGTGGCCGCCCTCGCAGCACGAAGCTCACAGGAACAACAGCCTCTCCACACACAGGCGGAGCCACCACGCCCAATGCCAGCAAACGTGGCCGTCCTCGAAAGGTCCGCGTCCCTCGCGAAGGAGAGACTCACGACGAGATGCTTGTTCGCATCGCACGCGAATCGCACAGGAGACTTCCCAACACTGCAAAAGACAGAGATGCAGCATTCGAAGAGTGGCTCCGCCAGGGCGACGAGAAGCTGGAACGTGAGGCGGCCCTCATTAGAGAAGAGGAAGAGCTGGGAATCGATCCGCATGCTAGTGCCCAGGAGAGACGACTTCGCAGACTCGGCCTCCGCGACTGGAGCGATGTACTCGGGGCTGCTGCGCTAGCAGGCTTTTCTCACCAAGTAATTGCCAGGACGGCCAAGCGATGTGCGAATTTATTTGGCGAGGGGATGGTTATGCGGCGCCTGGACGAGGTTCCAGCTTCGAGAGGACCGCCTTTTCACACCATGGAGTATCGCCCAGAGAAAATCAACCTCAACGGTCCAGATAACAACTCTGAATCGGATAGCGGAGAGGATGCTGCCACCGCTCTATCATCTCGTCGCACCTCTCGCCAGCCATCACAGGGTCGCCTCTCATCTCGCCGCCTCAGCTCCTCGCCCTTTCGCGGACGTTCCGGATCCTCAGCCCTGCGGAGCCGCTCGCATTCAAAATCTCGATCTCGGTCGCGCTCCTCGGCCGGCTTCCACTTCTGCCCGGTTCCAACCTGCGAGCGTTCGACTACGGGTTTTGCGCGCAAGCAGAATCTTCGGCGGCATATGCAGCTTGTGCACCCTGGGCGCGGGGATGACGAGGAGGATTGGGATAGCGAAGATGAGGTATTTGGGGCGGTGCATGTGGATGGGTTCCTGAAGCCGATTCTGGCTGCTCGTGGATGGAGGGAGAATGTAGCGGCCAGCTCGTTGGTGATTAGGAAAAGGGGGCGAGAAAGGCGAACGGGAGAGGATGAGGACGAAGATGAGGATGAGGAATTATGATTCTGAGAGAGACCTATAATTATGAGTGATTTTAAGGGAAAGATGTATAAAATGGTTGGAATTTTGAGTGTGAAAATCACTTTTAAGGATATACTCTCAGGGCTTAGAATCACTTATGCAGGCAAGTATTGGCTAATGCTTAATTTCGCTATTGATCTGTTTTACACCGCTCCATGACAAGACGTCTATACCCAAATGTCCCATAATATACACACAAGGGGGAAAAAAAAAACAGAGATAATGCCAAAATACCAGTATCCCGTAGCTCTGGGGTGATGCTAAACCAGAGTGCTCGAGCAGCCATACTTTACAGACATGCTGCGAAGTACTAATGCAAGATACATGAAACAACGCCAAAAGACAAGAAGAAGTTACACCGAAAAAAGGCAAAGGAAATACCGGAGAAATCTAAAAGATATCTTTCAAAGGCTGTGTGAGTTGTGTGTTGTAGAGGTTTTGATGCTTGTGGTATTCACAGCCCCGTAAAAGCTTTGCCGGTGAGTTTCATGACGCATTCGCTCAAGAATGACAAACCACCGCTGAAAAGAGTTCATAATGAAAACCGTAGCTTCCCTAATAACTCGCTTCATGCCATAACAAGCCATCAAAGCCTTCTCTTATGCTCCGTGTCATTAGTAAATATTCTCATCTCTCACCAGTTTCAGCCTTGGTATCGGCTTCGGCCTGAGTCTGGGCTTCGGTCTGGGCTTCAATTTCAATTTCAGCCTCTGATACACCCGTTACAGCTCTCTTTCTGGCTTGTTCAAGCTTTTCCAAGGCCTTTTTAATAATATCGTATTGCTCGCTCAGCGTGGTTTGAGTCTGGGCCCTTGGCTCCTCTCCCCAAGTTACGGAGGGTTCATCGTTGCGCTCGAGTAGATCTCCCAGATAGAGTCGTATATCCTTGAGTTCATCAATCAAAGAGGAGAGATGAGAGATTGCATCTGTATATTGTACATCAACTTCTTTGAGCAAGGTGATTTGTTCATCAAAGTTGCGCTCTTCCTCAATCAAGTTCCCAATATAAGCCCAGATAGCAGACATGAAAGACTTGGGCTTGGTTTTCTCTGCGCTAGAGAGACGTTGGGCCTGGTCATTGATTGCGCCCAGGTGAGTCTGACCTTGATGAAGGAGTAATGATAGAGCTTTTCCTTCTTCAATGATCTTGTCTACCCGATCCTGAACAAGGTTGATGTGCTCAGAGTATTTATCCAACAAAGCCCGATCGTTACCGGCTTGTTCCGAGGACTTGAATAGACTCAGTGGTCGGATAATCCAGGCTACGGAGGGAGGTAGAGAAGGCGACTCTGGTTCCATGGAGAGAGAGTTGATGTGGCGAAGAGTCCAGCGATTGATGTTTATGACGGAATCAACCGTTGATCCAACATGGATATAAAAGGTCTGCCAATTTCCGCCTACCTGGCCGACCTTTGCTATGTAAGCATTAAGTTCCATGATGAAATCCTCCCGAGTCGCGATTTCGTTCTCTTTGAGGAGAGACCTTAAACTTCGAGTAGCGATTTCTGAACGTTTTAATCCAAGCGGCATAGAGAGACCATAGGCGCTCTTGTCTAGCACACTCTCAAATCCCGATTGAACTTGCATGAGTTTGGTAAAATCGATGAAGGAAGCAGCAGAGCTACTAGACTTTTCGGTTTCAAAGAATCCAAGCCGAAAGTTGGAAACGCTGGGAATCTCATTGATAGAATCGAAAGAAAAGGACTGGATTTTATCGCGGGCAGCCTCAAAAGATATGCCATTCGAATGAACAAGGTATGCTGCGAGAGCGATTATGAGAGGTATTACGGCGTAACGGTAGGAGAGCGAAGAGACCCGAGCCAGTTTCTGAGAAAAGTTTGAAGACGATGGCAAATTTGAGTCAGTGTGTTGCCAATCAAGTGGTCCCTCATTTTGCTCCCTTAGAAGCCTAGCATATTCCCTCTCCTCGTCCTCGTGCCAAGTCCCGCGGCGCTCGTCATCCGACGCTACGCTGGCTTCCTCTGTATCATCGTCGACCATTGCGGTTCGCGAAGCCTCGCTCGCGACTAGATTATTGGCATCGACGAGAGGCATCCGGAGCTGTAGCTCGGGTCGTGGGTATGAGATACGTTGCGTGGACGTATGAGCGCTTGAAGGGAGGCTTGGGCGGAAAGGTTGGCGCAAGATTACTTCCTCGTCGTCTTGGTAGGTGTTGAAATCGCGGATGCTGTCTTGAGAAGCAAAGCTCGTGCTACCCAGACTTTGTGAAAAGGATTGTTGAGTGGGCAGCCCAGAAGATGGCATGGCACTCGAGGGAGGGCTGAATTCGTAGTCGAACGTCGTATCAATAATACTCGTATCGAAGCTGTCATTTTCGCCATCGACAAGGCGCCACGAGCCCTCGGCGGGGATTTCGCGCCGGCGCGGCGGCATATTTCAATGATTTGAGAGGTATTGGGAATCGCACGAAGAATGGTGAGCTGGAATGCGGGTTGGGAAAACGAGCGATGGTAGGCCGGCCGCTTGTTGCCACTCTTCCCTTGAGTTTAAGGGAAGGGACGTGTGTTGGTGGATTGACGCTAGATCGATCTAACCAATGTCGCAAGATGCTCCAAGAATTGGTTCAAAATCTGTCGCTTTCCAAGGCACGATTCACGGCCTTGTCAGGGAACTTCCGGAAAGCCCCAAGGCGTGAACGACGAGGCAGGGGTCGCAATCGCGCGAAAGAGGCAGCAGCAGCTGTTAATATAGCAATGCAATGTTTTGATCGACGTGAGATGGCGGGATCGCGTTGTGGCGACGGGAGATGAGTCATACGGCTGGTGATGGCGAATAAAAGAGCAGCAGGCACAAGCAGCGGCCAGGCAGATGCGCCCGATATGCGGGATCCAGAAGGCAATCGCGGTGGATTCTTGTGGTGTTGATGAGAGAAGCTCGGTTTAGAGCTAGGCTGCATTGTCTGCGGGTCTGCTACTTTAGTGCCGGCTAACTCTAACGGTATGGGGAGCACAGCGGGGGAGGAGCCGCTGCTTTAGTGGGCAGAGCGTCTGTAGGGGTTCAATGTTCTGTAAGGACCTAGGCAGATTAATTGATGCGATGCGACCCTCGCAAGGCCCAGAGAGAGCGTGCTGATCCGATTCGTTGGTGCTCGAGCTCGCGAGGCTGGCAGCTCAGGGCGGCAGATTGCGAGTTTTTTGATGATGGCTTTTTGAGAAGCGATATGTACAGCCGGAGGCGGGTGTGAATGTATTCCGAGAGCCAGGCTGTAGTATATGATGAGAATCCCCAAATGGCACCAGAATAGAATGAAGAAATGACAAGCTGCTCCTGCTCCTGGTGGGCTTCATGCTTTGTTTCGGCCGAAAAGATTATGGATAAAGTTTCATAGGCAGGTAATAGACGGCGCTGTTTTTCTGAGTAGATGCGACGCCTCTCAGCTTGAATGCGAGACGATAGCTAGGCAACAGTCCGGTTAACCGCGCGCCATTTACGATCGTATGTGCGATAATGATCGGAACACCGATGACAGTCAGAGAAGGCGAAAGACGTATGGAATCACTCTTTTCAGCGTAGTTATTGCGTATGCTCGCGAAGGCGTGAATTGAAGTCGAGTCTGGTTTTTGCGAGCGGGAAGTTGTAAGTGAGAAACTAGACATGGCAGCCGTTGTTCTTATGTATCACCTTGGACTTGGCCATGTGTCTGGCTGGCACATGAAGGGTCTTGGTCTTACCGACCCAACTAGTCAGACAGATCTCGTGCATCCTTGTGGCCTCTCACGTCTCAGTAACGGCTCATAGAGCACAGATGTTACTGGCTTCAGTATGCCATCAGAACGCAAGGGCCTTATAAGATGACTCCTATTGAACGGAGATGAGCAGATCATGGTAAACCGGAAGAGTAAGCGCATGCGCCCAATTTTTCACCAAACATGAAGCCTATGGATATGATGCCATCATTGGAGGATTTTCTCGTAAACCCCGCTGGAGGGGTCTTGATTTGGAAATGCGTTGGGTGAGGTAGCGGATTCGCGTTGACGATCAAGGGACTGTATCACATGATGCTTGTATTTGGTTCTCGCGTACAAGCCATCAAGGCGCCTCATGACCCGATGGCTAGCCGGCGCACAAGCTATCAAATACTACCTAAGCTCCAAAATACAATGCAATATTCGCATGAAAGCACCATACACAGACTCCAAATGTTAATACTACTAGCAAGCTCTGAACGCTGGAACCGGCCGGTGGGCCCGACCACGCACAGATCCACGGGCCGAAGCCACCCCAGCCAGACCTCGGCTCAAGCTGATTCGATCTAGCCGTTCAGCTTTCATAATCGGATCGCAGCGCCTCTCAACAACACGGCGATGCATCCTTGACAAGACAACGAAACGACTCAGCACAACACAACACGACAGACACCGACAATTCCTAGCCGCAGCTCAATGCCGACTTGATGAACGACTCGAGTTTCGTCCAGGCCCAGCAGCGCGTCGCTGCCCGACGACAGGCCCGCGAGGCCGAACAGCGAGCCAGGACCGCGGCTCAGCGCGAAGCCTCTCGCGTGAACACGCAGCTGCAGCGTCTGCCGTATCCGCTCAACCGTCTTGCCAATGCGTGGGACTCAGCATCTTCTATAGAGAACACGCGGCCTGCGTTCCGCGTGGCGCAGGTCGATGCCGAGCTCCTAGACGAAGAGCTGCTGGAGCTCCTCAAGGGACAAGTCGGCGATGCCCTCAAATACTATGCCGGCGGACATCTCAAGGATGACTGGTCTGCAGAGATTATGCTGGCGCTAAGAGCTATTCTTTTCAAACTGACAGTCTGGGATAACGATGCGACGTACGGAGCGGCTCTGCAGAACCTCAAATATACCGACGCCAGAAAAGGGGGCCCAGTGCTGGCACCACCGACGAGACTACAAAAGTCGCTGTACGGCTTCGTCACAGTATTTGGAAAATACGCCTGGACAAGATGGGAAGATTGGCTCGTAGACCAGGACGATGGATATAGCGATCCTACCCCTGTGGTGCAGAGACTATCCCGATTGACGTCTGGGCTGACAACAGTCCACTCTGCGGCGGCATGCGTCTCCTTTCTCATATTCCTGTTCCGCGGACAGTATCGCACGATTCTCGACCGCGTTTTGCGCATGCGGCTTGCACCTCCCACAAGCCACGTCAGCCGCGAAGTCTCATTTGAATACCTCAACCGCCAGCTTGTCTGGCATGCCTTTACCGAGTTCCTCCTCTTCGTTCTGCCCTTGATTGGCATCAACCGTTGGCGGCGATGGCTAAGCCGTACCTGGCGGAAGACCAAGGATATCGTCAGCACAAAACAAACTGGTGATGCTGCCAGTGGCGAGTACGGCTTTTTGCCGGAGAGGACCTGCGCCATTTGCTACCAGGACCAGAACGCTGCGGCGTCATCAGAATCAGAAATCATGGCGGCAGCAGCTTCTAGCGGCGTCATTGGATCGGCACAGACTGATGTTACCAATCCATACGAAGCCATTCCCTGCGGGTGCATCTACTGCTTCGTCTGCATTGCCCAGCGCCTAGATCGAGAAGAGGGCGAAGGCTGGACTTGTTTGAGGTGCGGAGAGCATATCAAAGAGTGCAAGCCGTGGAACGGAGACGTGCTCGAGCCATCCCGCAAATCAACCTCGACCAAAACGGTGGCATTTTCGGATGATGTGGTGGGAGGCTTTTCAGACGCAGACGACGCATCAGTCATTTCTAAAGAAGAGGCTCTCGGCGGCTCTTCACCGAAGCGTTGAGAAACACACCTACAAAAACCTTTACCCAGCTGAGCGCGGGGTTGACTTATAGAGAAGGCATTAGCGAAGAGAGTGAGATTGAGGTTACGGGATTTCTCTGTACATGTATAATATGAAGCGCGAGATGGGATTTTTTTTTTCTCTTAGAAAGTTTGGAACTGGGTGCAAAATTTGGACACATTTACAGCGTATTATTGCTTGTTTCGGTATATTCAGTCAACAGCAACAAAGGGGTTGACGCTGAGGATTAGCCCTCGTTTATAAAAGAAAAATACAACAAATATATAGACGCTTCAGAAAGCAACTACTGTGAGGGCATCTAGATTTACTTGCACGCGTAAAGGCTTAAGGTTAGAATACGTGAACATACCTACCTTACCAAGGTAGGTAGGTAGGTACCTACTCAAGTCCATGTAGCCTTACCGAGGCGTGGAAAGTCGTCCACCACTATGCCCGCTAAATTGCCTAGCAGCTTAGTGCTCTTAGTGCTGTCACTGATGTCATGCCGGCACACCGCCTTGTGGCTTCAGGTGGCTTCAGGGGTCCTCTGGCGGCAACCGCGTCATTCTGCCGCCCAGCAGCAGTGTGCAGCAGCTAGCGCCGATGCCTCTGATCTGAGCTGTGGGAGGCATGTATGCGCAGATTATAGACAGCTTCGCAGTCCAACCACGAGCTGCGGCCTGATTCCCCCCATCATGCAGCTGCAGGGATGCCCCTCCGCGCACGAGACCCTGCTGTAGGTCATCTCTCCATATTGGCTGCGCCTTTGTTCTCATGTGAGCGAATCGCATCTGGATCCGACTGCCTGCAAGACCGAGCTCGAGTCAAGAGCTGTTTTGGAAACCGAACTTTTACAACCTCGAAAAGAGAGGCTGAAGGACGAGCAGCGTCGCTCGCCTCGTGCCCTCTTTGTGTATCCTGCGTGTTTTTTTTCTTGGCCATGCCCAGCTTCTTTCAATTCACCCAAGGCACTGAATCGCGCGTGCGGCCTACAGACTCGTCGCCTTTGCTTGGTCGCTACCGAGCAGTGCCTCCCCGCCCTGGCATCGGACAGCGTCGCCCGAGCAGTCCGCTGGGCTTGCTGTCGAGTCACTATGAAAATGGCCGTGACAGCATCCATGTTGGATACGGAGCGCTGATTGTGGCCGAGATCGAAGCTGCGCGCCTGGGCTCTCTGGGCAACTCTGGCGTCGGAGATGACGAAGCGACGGCTGGCATGTCGAGATGGGAGCGGTTGTGGCAGGGATACTTTATCGATCTTTTTGTTGATCCAAGGCCGTCGGCGGTGAAGCGCGTGGTAGACAGGTGGTGGAGTCGATATGGTCTGCTGGTGTTTCTGCCCGCGGCACTGGTATGTTGCTTATACGGAGACTCTTGAAATCAGGCGGGTGAGCGTTTTTGCAGTTGCGCTGAAGCTGACACTCTTGTGTAACTCAGGCCGTTGCCTGGTGCGCAGTTCCTTTCCCGCAGTACTCGTTCCCGGACGAGGACAACGACGGCGCCGAGAGTAGCGTTTGGCTGCGGCTTACACGGGCTGTGGCGACGTTTGACAGCAAGACGCCGGGTCACGGAGCAGCTCGTGTGCAGGTCAACTTTTGGTTCTTCCTGTTTGTTTACTACGGCTTCTACAACCTCAGCGCGCTGATTTGGATCACCAAAGTTTTTAACCTCTATAGATTGAACTGGTAGGTGGTGGCTGTTCCCATAGAGCGACAATGCAGCTTCAGCCTGACTGACGAAACTCTTTGCTAGGTGGCCGCGGTCTTTCGGCTTTCCAGTCACAGTCTTTCTCTTGGCCATCCTATCTCTCGCCGTGCCCATTCCCGTGTACTTCATCCCTTCCACTCGCTTCCTTACTGCCCACAACACAGCATGGGTATCATGGACATTCATCATCATGGCCATGCCTGTCGCCATTGCTTTTCTTATTCTCATGACGAATGAACGCCATATCGGGCTGCGGCACTCTCTATCAGAGACGCAACGCATCTTTACGACCTCGTGGTGGACGGGAGAGCCCGACTCATTTCCCAACCGAGAACGCCGGCGCCGCGATTTTCCAGACGACCTCTGGGAGCAGGATGTCTTGAGAGTCTTGCCTCCTTCAGGGCCCACTAGGGTGACCCTGCGGCGGCGATGGCTGCCTGCAAGTTTTGTGAGGTTTCTGTGGTTCTGCGTGGCGCTCTTCATCGGGCTGATGGCGTATGTTTTGGGAGAAGCGTATGCCGAACTTTATCTCCGGACGTTGCCGCACAATAATTTTGAGACTATTGTATATGTATACGGCTGGGTGGTGACGGTACATTTGCTGGACGCTCTGACAGGCTGGGTTCTGGGCATTAAAGAAGGCGAGCGTGTAGGGAGCTATCCTTTAAGCTGGGTCTTTAAACTGTTTGTCTCCCCCTTGCAGCTTGTGTTTGATTGAAAACTGCTACTAACACACTTGACCAGATATTTCATGTTGACGTATCAGACCTACGTCCGAGCTCTGTACGCCCGTCTTCGCTCACCGTCCCAATTCATCATTCTTCAAATTTTCTCCTCCACAGGACTGGTCATAATCTCGCCCATCATGATGACTCGTCTCTTTCATAAGGTCCTCACCATTCTAGGCCTTAGCGGGTTAACTTACGAGACATACCAAAAACTGCAAACTCGAAACCTCTTTATACGATTTTTGGCCGAAAATACATCAATGGCCACGTTCCTCGGAAGCATCCTCGTGCTCCATTTCGGCGCCAACAAAGAGGTGTATCCGTACTTCGCCTTTGACAAGGCCGAGGATGAAACTCTACAATACGATTTCAACCTCACGTTCTATGCCTCCATGGTTACGTGGGGATGCGAGCTGGTGGCTAGTCTTGTTGTCCGGGGGCTGATTGCCCTCTTCTTTAGAATTGACGTTGGGTTGGAGGGCAAGCTGGATCTGGCGGTTTGGCCGGAGCTGCTGCCCACGAGCGTGGCGGTGATTCTTCACGTTTTGCAGAATATGCTGTTCTCGATTATACGTTTACAATTTCGGAGTTGAGAGAAGAAGACTCTTGCCTGTTGGTGGTGTGGAAGTTTAGTCTTTGTTGGTGAGGAAGACCAAAAAGTTGTTCCGGATTTCCTCCAGTCATTGTTGTATCATTGGCTTCATTAGGCATTGCGATTGATAAACCGGACAGATTTCTGTTTTTGCTTTTGCTTTTCTCTTTCAGATAGTTTGTCTGTTTGCCTTTCTTCTTTCTCTCCTTTGCTGCTTTTGTGACAAAAGTAGCCTGATACCCACTCACGTTTATAGACCACTCATTCTCTTGCAATTCTTATAGAAATCTAGATATCTTCGAATGCTCGCAATTTTAGAAATCATCCCCACATTTCATTATCCTTCATGCTATCAAGTGCAGCAATAAACAAAAACCTCAATATTAAATATAGAGATCTTTGGAGTTAATCCAAGCCAGCTCTTTAGCTAATCAAGTAAAATTACAATAGAGTATTCGCTCACTCAGAACTTTTGTCTGCGACATGTTTCATCAAACAAATAAAAACAATAGGCAAACCCCCAATTCATATCCTAGTTCTTGAACGTAATAGTCTTTGTCCTCACCCACTCCTCCAGTCCAGCCGTTGCGTTGAAGCGCCCAAACCCACTAGATTTGGTTCCTCCATGGGGCAGAGCTGCTTCATCATGGACAGTCATGTCATTGATGTGAACGGCCCCAGACTCAATCCCCCTCGCGAAGCGAAGGCCCCTCTTGAGATCCTCGGTGAAGACGGCAGATGTAAGGCCATACTCTGTATCATTGGCTAGCTGTAGGGCTTGTTCTTCCGTCTCGACCTCGTAAAGGGCAATTGTTGGGCCGAATGACTCAGTCTTGTAAATGTCCATGTCGGGCGTCACGTTGTCGAGAAGGACAGGTCGCATCTCAGTCTTGCGCGCCTCGTTGGCGCTGGCATCTCCAAGAAAGACCGTTGCGCCTTTCGAAGCGGCGTCTTGAACGAGAGCCTGGTTGCGCTTGACGGCCACTTCGTTGATGAGGATGGCGCCGGGACCATTGGAAGGGTAGAGCTCGTTTACAGCGGCCTTGAGCTTCTCTTGGAACTGGGCCTTGACGTTCTTGTGGACAATGATTCTCTCCGTGGCCATGCAAGTCTGGCCGCCGTGGAAGAGGGCACCGAACGCGCATTTCTTGGCAGCAAGATCCAGGTCCGCATCGTCCCACACAATGGCTGGTGCTTTGCCGCCAAGTTCGAGGAGGACTGGCTTGAGGTGCTCGCCAGCGAGTCTTCCGATGGCCTTTCCGACGTTGGTGCTGCCCGTGAAGTTGACTTTCCTGACGAGGGGGTTGGCAATCAGAGCTTCTGTAATCTCAGCTGCGCTATCCCGGTCGTGGGCAATCATGTTCATGACGCCGTTGGGCAGACCAGCCTCGTGGAAGATGGATATCAGAGCCCGCATGGTCTGGGGCGAAAGTTCTGAAGCTTTCAAGATAGCGGTATTACCTGCAGCAACAGGGCCAACCATAGAACGAGCGGGCAAGATGTAAGTAGCATTCCTGGTTTGGGATGTGAGATTATGGCGGATAGAGAGACTCGAGTGAAAAGGGGGCAGCGGCTTACCAAGGAGCTACAGACAAGACGACACCATAAGGCTCTCGAAGGACGATTCCACTTGTGTCAGGATCCATCAGCGTAGGGAACGAGCCTTCGATGGAGGAGATGCGCCCAGCGGCGTCTCTGATGAGGTCGGCCGATGTGTTGATGTTGAACAGAGCCCACGGCGCGGCAGCTCCTGTCTCACTCATCATGATCTGGGCCAGTTCATCGCCCCTTTTCTGGAAGAGGTCGGCAGCCTTGAGGAAGATGTCCCGACGATGCGAAGGCGTTGTCCTCCTCCATGTCTTGAAAGCCTCGGCTGCGGCATCAACGGCGGCATCTGCGTCTGCGACAGAGGCGGATCCGCATCGGTGCGTTACCTCGCCAGTGACAGGAGACACGACGTCGAAGATCCTCTCGGCATAGTAGTCGCTGCCGTTGATGATGAAGGGCACCGTCGGCGTGGCCTCGGCCTCGGACCTCGTCTTATTTGCAGCCTGGCTCTGTTGGCTGCGAGTTGCAACGGAGTGAAAAGAAGGTCCTTGTCTAAGCGCAAAGCCGTTGATGTGGCGAAGCACAAAACGCGGGCGCATCAGCGATGCCTGTCGTAGCGCCATCTTGAAAGTTGTTGCTTATGCTCTCTTTGTGCTCTATAACTGGTCTGCAGCTACATGCGCTTTTGCTTCCTCCAACTTGGTGTTTTTTATCCTTAATCTCGACGAGTTCTTAACCTCGATGAGCGACGGGGTTAAAGGTTGATCTACAATGGTCTGTGCGGGGTCAATTTCAACGACTCAGTTACGAGAAAATTGGTAATGTCCGCTGCAACTCTGACAACGGAGACACTGAGCAAGGCCAGGATCCTTTCCACGCGTCTTCGATTAGAATTGGAGACAGTCTTTCGAGTAATCAATCTTGTGATTGATAAACCCTTGTTGACGTTGCACATCAAGAGAAAAAATGCTACATTGAGTTAATGCTGGGGTTGCCCAGCAAGTGTGGAGATTTTCGAAGAGAAGCTGGAGTTGTGAGCTGTTCCGTGATTGCATGAATCATTCGGCAATCAGCGAGTCGAAAAGAGCTGAAAATATCAACTTTGGCAGCCATGTTTGCTTATTGCTTCTTTTCCTCATTTCCACTGTTCCAGCTTGTCCGGCTCTAGAAAGGGCTGAGACACAGTTGCGGTGTTTATCCGGATGACTTCTAGAAGACTGTGTAAGTGACGGTGCCATTGCATATCTCTAGCCAAGGAAAACGCGGTTAAACGCAGCACCCACCAGGTTCCGGCAACGTGCCAGGAAGGACAAATTGGACTTCGGATTTTCTTTGGGGGGTTTGTATGCGAGTTCCGTGATCAGGCACCGGCTTCAGCACCATTTTAACAGGTGGTGGTGTTGGTTTGCGGTCCATCTTGACGATTCAATGTGACGAACACCGTATGTCGATTTCAATCAAGTGAGAAGCAGAAAATGAGAAGTAAAAGTGAGAAATTAAAGCGTCACAGGCAGATCAATCAGATCTTGGAAAGAAAGAGTAGCACCAAAGGGGCCAAGAACAAGTGTCGCCTTATATAAAACTCCACGGCTTCCAAGAGAAGAAGAAAGCCTCAAATGAGCTAAAGTTGCCGATTAGAGTTACGCCCGAGACAAGGCTGCAAATCCGATCTGCCAGTGTCCTTCTTCCGATTCCGATAAGCGATGCGCTTACTCAAAGCTAATCTCAGGGTTTGTTCGGGCGCAAAGGCGATGCGGTCTGCGCCATTCGCCCAACTGTCTGAGGCGGTGACAAGATACCCACGTTGGGCTGGAGAAACGGGCGCTTCTGGTATTTGCCAGTGGTGAGATGGGGCAATGAGGTTGAAAACGATCTCAGGGGGCTGACTCCAGCTGGCCGGCACTACTCCGTATCCGGCAGATGCAGCACAATTCCACGTGGATTGGGATGTGCTTTGACGAGGAAAGAGATGCTGTGTCGAGATATTACACATACACAGGCGATTTATATCAGTAATACCTGTGAGAGGCAGCACGATATCAATGGTGGCATCGGACGATGGCTGGACTGAATGCCTTAGGTAAGCTGCTATGCCCGGGTAAAAGACGGAACAATGCAGAATAGAGTAAAGAATACTTGGGCACATGTGGTGGCGTTTTGAATGGCAAACAGCAACAATACTATTGCCTATCCGAGTGACTCAAGTCGTAGGGTCTCACTTAGTAGCTTGGCAAAAAGGCAAAAAGGGCGACTCGTGTTTTGCCTGGTTCATGTCACGAGCAGCAGTAAGTAGGCGGCCTAGTATGGATATTAGTACAGCCGCACTACAGCAGGTACAGTAGGCCGTTGTGTATCATGTCAATACAGTTCAATATAGGTAAGTAAAGCTAGTGATGCCATCTTGCTGATTTTTAGTTTTTATTGCTCATGCTCCAGCTGTGCTCGTAGCCCGAATCATCTACTACAATTAGTCACACTGATCCTTCGAATTGCACCAGACGCTTCAACTTATACGTTCCGCTCCCTCTGGCGCCTTACTTACACGTCCCGTCTAATAGACAAACTCAGTAGCTCCGCGCCCTTCTCCGTCCAGCGGCATTAGCTGCTGCACCTTGCCATGAGCCCAACACCCTCCACGGCCCAGCAGCCAATCAGCGGCCGCAACGGTTCGCCATGTCCACAGTCACAGTTTGATGATGACCCCGCTTCTGAATAATTTCTTTGCGCGCTGATTGGCTCATGGCCGCAACCAGCCTCTCAGTAGAGCCCATCAGCGCTCGCCATCCCCGCTGTGGCGCTCTGTGGATCCCCAGTTTTCTTTTTGGGATCTCTTTGGACACGGCCTGCAGATGGGCGGCGGCCGGCGATTGGCACGTCGTGAGCACTTGCATACGGAGGCGTGTGATGCTGGTACACCGGTTGCCGCAGTGCGTAGCAGGTGCATGGCCAAGAGGCATTGGCGATGGCACAAGACAGCAGAATCAATATCAGTGGCTGTTTCTGGGATGGCGCAAACATGGAGGTGCTGGAGTGCTTAATCAGTGCTAAACTTGCAGCGCAGCACCGGCGAACGTACAGCGCCGTTCCGTGTGCTGTGATTGCTAGCGGTGGGGTCGGGCCACGGCAGAAAAAAAATAAAATCGCCTACGATGACCGTTGCAGCAGCTGTATGTAAGCCCGCCAGCGGCCGGGCCACCATGCCTTACTGAGCATCCGCCAGCAAGGTACCGTCGACTTTTCGCCAGGCGGCTGCGACTTTTCCCTCCGCCATCACCAAAAAAGGTCGGCCGTGCTCAGTCCTCGTCCGCACTCGGCCTCAGCATCAGTCATTCGACCCTCGTCCTGTTTTTTTTTGTTCTGCCCGCCGGCCCCGTTGTTCGCATCCATCGCATCGCATCCGCGGGCCACCGCCGCTGCTCCATCTCGCCGCAGCCTCGCGCAAAGCGACCCAAC